GATTTTTCTGTAATTTGATGTGCAAATTTTCATGGACAATAAATGAAAATTTATAATCATTTTGCAGGATTTTTTATTATTTTTTTTTTAGAAAAAAAATTCAAAATATTTTTTTAAAGGAATATTCAGAATTTTTCTGTATTTGACGTGCCAAATTTTCATGGACAAATAAATTAAAATTTTTCAAAAACCCTTCAACATGTTTCATTACAATTCAAAATCTTTCCACTTTTTTTATATCTGAGTTCATTTGGAAAAAAAGCCCACACCAAATATGCCTGATAATCCGCTTAAATAACGGCGGAACGCGGACCATTGTCACGAAAGAGAGATAAACAAAACTCAAAACTTTCTCGAAAACTCAAAACTTTCTCGAAAGAGAAAACAAACACATAAAACTCAAAATTATTTGAAATTTCTATCTAAATTTCTTCAAAAATAATTTGAATTTCAGAAAAACAGTCTCAAACTTAAACTTTTGTAGAAATATAGATGCAGATTTTGTTTTTTGGTGAGTCCCAAAAAAAAAGGGTCCTAAACTTGGACTGTTTTTAGAAAAATAGATGCAAATTTTATTTTTTTTTTTTGAGTTTTTTTTTTTTTAAAAAGGAACGTGTCGAAATTTCAAATTAATTTCTGTTTTGGAGATTTCTTTTGTTTGAAGAAAAAAAAATGCAAATTTAATGTACACATGTATTTATTTGAAAATAATTATTGGTTTCATGTTTTTATATATAGCATATGGCAACTATTGTATTAATTTGTTTTTTTTTTTTATAAATATATACTATACAACTTATAATAAATAATTAAAAAAATATAAATATAAACAAGAAAAAAAAATAAAATAAATTGCATTAAAATATTTTTTTATATATCAGACAGATAAAGCACTTTTTGTAAGAAGAAAATTTTTAAAAATATTTTATTTATTTATTTTTAAAAATATTTTTTTTTTATTTTGAAAAATTATTTTTTATTTTTAAAAATATTTTTTTTTTATTTTGAAAATATATTTTTTTTAATTTTTAGATTGTTATATAAATAATGATAATATCAAGTAGAACATCTTTTGTTTTTATGTTTATTCATTTAAAGCTTATACCTATAATTAAATTTAAAAAAAAATATACATCAACACACAATTTTACAAAGATTGCAAAAAACAAATAAAAACAACTTTTTACAATGGAAAATAAAAAAGAAAAATATAATTTTATACAACAACAAAAAAATTTGGTAAAAGTACAAAAAATAAATATTGCAAAATAATTGATTTAAGAAGCTTGGAAACCAGAAATGCAAATTCGTTTATTATATCAATTTTTTGTGATTTGTTTTGTTTCGTTTTTTTTTTGTTTTTGTATATAAATATTTATCAACAATTATTATATTAATAATATTTTTATTTATTTATTTATTTTATTTTTTATTTATTTTTTTTTTTTTTTTTGTTAATAAAAAAAAGCAGTTTTGCACACTTAGTTTTAATTAAGCTTCAAAATAATTAAGATTTTTTGTGTATATAAGAATAAATATTTATTTTTTATTTGTTTTTAATTAGGCTGAGTATTTAAAATTTAAGATAGGTTTCTGCTAAAAAAAACGGATGTAAGGTTGGAAGGTCAAAATAGGTGTTACATAGAGCAAATGCCTTTTTTTCTTACTATTTAGATTTTAAACAAAAATCTTTTTTAGATTTCTAAAGCTCAAATCCCTTTTTAGATTTTTAATTTTTAAAAGCTCCATACGTGGATTTGAATTTTTTTTTAAATAAATCGAATCCAGTTTCTTAAAAACAATTTTGAAGAAGGAGCTGAAGATTTTTTTAAAGAAAACTTTAAGGAAGCATTCCAAGTCCTTTACATGCATTTATTTGAGAATTTTAGAGCCCTTGAAGAACTGTTTTTATGTGTTTTGAAAGGGTAAGGTTAAAAATGTTTTCAAAAGTATTAATAATTGAGAGACATTTTTGGATTTGAAATTTTTTTTTGGAAAAATAAACCGAAGCTCCTACCCATTTTCTTTAAAAAATTTGAAGAAGGAGCTTAAGATTTTTGTTAAAAGAAAGTGTTAAGGAAGCATTTGGAATCCCTTACTTGTATTTATTTGAGAATTTTAGAGCCCTTGAAGAACTTTTTCAAAGACCTAAAATGGTAAAGACTAGACAAAATGCATTCTGAGCAAATGGTTTGTGGCTATACTACCTTAAATAACAGTTCATGACAAAGGCATGTTAATATAAAAAACACAATTATATAAAAGAATGACAAATAAAAGTTTGGATAATCCAAAATATTAGTTTCAAAATTCTATTCCATATACCTTCCCAAATAATTGCATACAACATAGTTACCAATGTTAAGCAATTTAAACCGCTAAGGCAGTATGCAATTATTGGGAAGGTATATGGAATAGAATTTTGAAACTAATATTTTGATTATCCAAACTTTTATTTGTCATTCTTTTATATAATTGTGTTTTTATATTAACATGCCTTTGTCATGAACTGTTATTCAAGGTAGTATAGCCACAAACCATTTGCTCAGAATGCATTTTGTCTAGTCTTTACCATTTTAGGTCTTTGCTTTTTTTATATGTTTTGAAGGGTTAAGGTTAAAAGTGTTTACAAAAGCATTAATAATTGAGAGACATTTTCAACAAAAATTCCTTTGATGACCTTCCATCCTAAGTATAAATGTTGTTGTTTCAAAATTTCTCCTTTTTTATTATTTTCGTTAATTATGGTTATCAATATTATTTGTTTAGAACAAATTCCAGTTGGTTTTTATGAATGCTTTTTTCTGAATATTATTTTTATCTTTCATTTTCATTTATTTCTTCTTTTTTAATTTAGAAAAGAGAAAAAGAGGGCAGTATAAAATACTTATTTGTTCTTGTTTACTCCTAGACTTTGTATTTGATTTGATGAGTTTTTCTCTTAATAAAAGTTTTGGAGTTTTAAGATAATAAATATTTATCTAAAAAAATTTATTATTTTTCCAAATGTGTTTAAGCATCCATTTCTTTAGGTTTAGAATTTTAATTGTCTTTTATTTATTTCTTTTGAAAAAATTTGTTCTAATTTTCTTTTGGTTTCCAAATAAGAGTATGATGGATATTGGAATTTGACAGAAATGGTAATAAAAATATAAATAAACATTTAAAAATTTAATAAAAATGTCTTCCATAGACCTTTGCTTGATTAAAAGAATGATTTTGATTCGATGGAGAGCCATTTAATTTAGTTTTGTTTAATTCGAAATATTAATAATAAGTAATTAATAATTTTTCCGATATCTCTGATATATTACCACTTAGAGCAAGAACATTTTGGGGATTTTAAATTCCTACATTCTTATTCCTTCTGAAGATATGACCCTTAAAGTACAACATGAAAAATTCTCAAATTGTGAAAAAATGTGTTTTTCGATTCTTCCCATATCTCTGAAATTTAGTCAGATTGAGCAAAACTATTTTCAAGAAATAAAGCTCGGAAGTTCTTCTTTCAAAAACAGTTCATTACATTAGAATACATCCACTACTTCAGAGGCTGTGATCATTGAAAAATGGCTTTGGGAAATTTCTAGGTCATTTTTAAATTTCCTTTTTTTATTTATTTTCAATTCGTACAGTAACCTAACCCATATGGAGGGTTCCAAAAACTTCTTACATGACATGACGGAATTTTAACAGTTCCCACAAAAATATCTTTGGCCTTTCTTGAAACGGCAACTGTTTCTAAAGATCTGTTGGGACTTTCTAAATTATTAGACATTTCGGATATTTGATTAGTTTTAGCAAAAATATAACGTTGGTTTTGAAGTTTAGACATTCTTCTAAGCTTAATTAATTATTTTGGTTTAAATCCAATCCATCCATCCAATTCCAAAATTGTGTCCTTAGAAAAATACATGGAAAATATCCTAATAATTGAAAAAATGGATACCTTCTCATTTTTTATGATATTTTGGATATTGAATCCGCTACAATACAAAATTTTGTATAGCTTACAACTTTGAACTTTTTTATTTCAAAATCAATTCATTTGCCCGAGTTAAAACCATCACTTAAAAAGTTGTGGCCTTTTACAAATGACTTAGGACAAACTTTTTAAGTTAAAAAAAATAATATTCTCAATTTTTTTAGATTTCTTGGATATTTCATCAGCTACAGTATAATAACTTTATACGGATTTGAAGTTTATACACTATACATTTACAAGCAATTTACTTGATTGAGATAAATCCACAAATGTCTTAACAAAAACTCTTTAATAAAACACTGATATTTTTCGATTTTTACCATATCTCTTACCATGAGAATTTAAAGAAAGAAAATCTATGTGGACTAATAGTTCTGACTTCCTCCTTTCACAATCAAACTGATTTGGTTGAGATAAATGCATTAAGTTTTAATTTATGGACCTTGGCAAATGACTCATTAAAAACTCTTCAAATTAAATAATTCGAAACTTCTCAATTTTTACGATATCTCGAGTACTTAATCAGTTACAGGAAGAAAATTTATATGTATTTAAAGTTCAAACTTCCACCTGTCGGAATCGAAGTCATTCTATTGAGATACATATATTCATTGCTTTAGAAATTAACTTTGGAAAATGACTTATTAAACACTCATAACATTAAACAATGTATACTTTTTAATTTTTGTGATATCTCAGGCATTTGATCATTTACAGGGATAAACATTACATCGATTTAGAGTTCAGAAACTTCCCTTTCATAAACATTTCATTTGATTTAGATAGATCCACTACTTTAAGAGTTATGGTCTTTGGCGAACGACTAAGAAAAAAATCTTAAATAAATGAAATATTTTTCAAATTTTACGATATCTCGAGTACTTAAGAAGTTACGGAAAAACAATTAATATGAATTTAATGGTCAGACTTTCTTCTTTCTCAAATTCATTCATTGGATTGAGATACATTAACTCCATTAGAAACTGTTGACTTTGGCAAATGACTAAAGAGAAAATCAGAAATATATACTTTTTGATTTTTACGATATCTCGGGTATTTAATCAGTTACAGGAAGAAAAATTACATGGATATAAAGTTCGTACACTTCTCTTTCACAAACATTTCATTTGATTAAGATGGACCCATTACTTTAAGAGTTATGGTCTTTGGCAAATGACTAAACAAAACTTTTAAACAAATGAGGCACTTTTCAATTTTTACGATATCTTGGGTGCTTGAGAAGTTACAGTTAAAAATGTATATGGACTTATAGCTCTGACATTCTTCTTTCAAAATCAATTCAATTATTTAGGATATAGCCAGTATGATGGAAGTTATAGGCCTTGGAAATTACTATATTTATTTGCCAAATTTGGACGTTTCCGAGTCTTTTAAATGTGGCAAAATTTCCATTTTTTTTGGAGAAATAGGCCAATATAGACCATGGCAAGTTAAATATTAGACTCTTTCATTTCTTAATCAAGGATCTACCATGATTTGTTACAAGAAAAAAAGCAAAATTTGGGATCAATTAAATTTGAAACTTTCTTCAATTTGTTGCCATGACAACGGCTATTTTACAATGTTTTCTTCAGTAGAACTTTTTAAAAATTAATTCAGATTTAAATTTTCTACAAAGTTGGCTTCCCTTCCAATTCCAATATACATCATATTCTTAAGATTACTTATTATTTCTTCAGAGTTTTAAATATAACAAATGTTTTTCTTTTATCTTTTTCGAAGTTGATTTTTTATATATTTTTCTTTATGATTTTTTTGTTGGTTTGTTTGTATAATTAAATTAGTTACTATTCTCTAGACCAAAAAAAAAATCTCATTTCTTTTCTTTTTCTTAAAAAGATGGGGAATAAATTTAATTTAAAAAAATAATAATAATAAATCTTAAAACTAGTTTCTTGTGTTTTTTGGATTAATTTGTTGCTGGTTTTATGCTTCTATTAATGCTATTCCTTTTAAGGGGGAAATATGCTTTGCTTGCTTTCTTGCCGCCTGCCGGTATCTTCTTCATTTATGTGGGGCAAAGGACCTTCAAAATGTAATCTGTTAAGAGAGTGGGCACCGTGGGGCTATCCTCGTTGATGGCTTTTAAGACTGAAGAGAGGGAGAGAATAAAATTTAAATTCGAATTTGTTTCTTGGTACAATCTCCTCCAACTTACTTTTATTAAAACTGTAGATTTTGATTATTTGGTGTGCCATTCTCCATGGTATAGGGTATGACTGTGGTCAAATATTTCGGCTCGGGTCCCTGGAATTTACCCCTCTTCTTTTCCACATGATATTGGCGACGTTTGTTTTGTACTGCCAGCAGTATTGAAATGAATGAATTCTTCAATTCCTTTTCAAATTCCAATTCATCGCGCAATGCCAATTCATTGATGAGGGTCTCACTTAGCTCCTGGATCAATACCTCCATTTCCATGTATAGCTCATTTAACTGGTTGATTGAGAGGTATTGCAATTCTAGAAAAAAATAAAGCGTTATATTAATTTTTGAATTTTTTTCTGAAAGAATAGCGACTTACTTTCCGCATAGAGAGGTGCCCCCAATACCTCCTTGGCCTTTTCCATCACCTCAGACTCACATGTGGTGGCCTCATCTGTGGGACTCTCGGCCTCATCGATAATATATTCAATTTCCTTGATAACCTCCTCGACACTTTTGATCGGCTCCTCCGGCTCATTGTTGAGGCCATGCAAAATCAAGGCATGCATATCCAAATCATTGGCAATGGCTTCATCTTCACTGTTCAAATCATCGGCTGGCGTTTGGACATCTGAGGAACCTCCTTGTTTGTTGTTGGTATTCTGACCTAAATTCAAGGTAGGCATATGCATTTTACGTGTATATGATTTGGACCAATCAATGGGTAAAATATTACCAAAATTGCCAGTAATAGTCCACCACATTCTGTAAAAGAAAAAAAGAAAAAATTTGGGGGTTAGAAAATTGGATTTAAATGGAAATTTCGTAGAAATGATAAAAATTAAAAAAAGAAAATTCCTCTGAAGCCGCAGAAAATTTTTTATAGAAAAAAAATTTGCCAGAATCTGGGGACCAAATTTCGGGTGTAGGAAAAATCTCAGAACCAATTTTTTTCTTTAGGAAAAAAATCGGACACCAATTTTTTTTTAATATTTCAAAATTCTAGGACGAGATAAGCGAACTCATGGCAACCCTTACATACCAACCTCCACCCTCCTTAGCAAGATATTTATCTGGCATTCCATCATAATTATGGCACGACCCATCATTAGAAATGCATTCAAGGAACAGGAAGTCTAATGTCACAACACACTACTTAGCAAATATTTGTCAAATGACACTCACACGCACACACTCACACCCACACCCGAATGAACAAGGAAGGACCCAAACGACATATGAATGGCTAAATGCATTTCCATGGAAAATCCTGAAGGTAACAAGAAAAAATAAACAGGCCAACAATTGTGTTGCAAAACAAGAAGAAAGAAATTCCAACAAGAAAAAAAAATATAAATAAAAAGGACGAATAAAAAAAATCCAGGATAATGTGTAAACAGATGGGATTTTTCATGTCGAGAGAGAGAAAAAAAGGCCAACAATTTACTTGTGGCGTAATTTCCACTCTTTGTGAAAGTTTCTTCCCCGCACAACCACCAACCAGTCAAGACATCGTCATTGGCAACGACGTCGACGACGATGATGATGGTGGTGGCGTTGACGAGGACAACAACGGTCATATTCTGATTGTAAGCCACACATACACACACAAAGGAGTGTACAGGACAATGAACTTATAATCTGATATATGGGCCAGCGAGAAAATATAAAAAGAATATATTTTATATTTAATGCAGAGGAAAACGGGAGGGATATAAATGGAAGGAACACTGTTTCATAAATAATTTATTTTCTGGGAATTTCTCTCTATAGAAAAAAATCGATCCCCAGATATTGGGAATTTTTTTCTATATTGAAATGAGAGGCAAATCCCCAGTTCCTGGGCATTTTTTTTTCCTATAGAAAAAAATTTGTCCCCAGTTTCTGGGGATTTTTTCCGTCTAGCAAAAAATTCGATCCCCAGTATCTGGGGATTTTTTTCTATAGAAAAAAATTGATCCCCAGTATTTGGGGATTTTTTTCTATAGAAAAAATTGATCCCAGTAATTGGGGATTTTTTTCTATAGAAAAAATTGATTCCAGTAATTGGGGATTTTTTTCTATAGAAAAAAATTGATCCCAAATATTTGGGGATTTTTTCTATAGAAAAAAATTTATCCCCAGTATTTGGGGATTTTTTTCTATAGAAAAAAATTGACCCCCAGTATTTGGGGATTTTTTTCTATAGAAAAAAATTGATCCCCAGTATTTGGGGATTTTTTCTATGGAAAAAAATTGATCCCCAGTATTTGGGGATTTTTTTTAAATTGTCCCCATTTTTTGGTGATTTTTTTCTACAGAAAAAAATTTGTCCCCAGTTTTTGGGGATTTTTTCCGTATAGGAAAAAATTCGATCCCCAGTTTCTGGGGATTTTTTCCGTATAGGAAAAAAATTCGATCCCCAGTTTCTGGGGATTTTTTCCGTATAGGAAAAAATTCGATCCCCAGTTTCTGGGGATTTTTTCCGTATAGGAAAAAATTCGATCCCCAGTTTCTGGGGATTTTTTCCGTATAGGAAAAAAATTCGATCCCCAGTTTCTGGGGATTTTTTCCGTATAGGAAAAATTCGATCCCCAGTTTCTGGGGATTTTTTCCGTATAGGAAAAAATTCGATCCCCAGTTTCTGGGGATTTTTTCCGTATAGGAAAAAATTCGATCCCCAGTTTCTGGGGATTTTTTTCCTATAGAAAAAAATTCGATCCCCAGTTTCTGGGGATTTTTTTCCTATAGAAAAAAATTCGATCCCCAGTTTCTGGGGATTTTTTTCCGTATAGAAAAAAATCGATCCCCAGTTTCTGGGGATTTTTTTCGTATAGAAAAAAAAATCGATCCCCAGTTTCTGGGGATTTTTTTCCGTAGAGGAAAAAAATCGATCCCCAGTCTCTGGGGATTTTTTCCGTAGAGGAAAAAAATCGATCCCCAGTCTCTGGGGATTTTTTCCGTAGAGGAAAAAAATCGATCCCCAGTCTCTGGGGATTTTTTTCCGTAGAGGAAAAAAATCGATCCCCAGTCTCTGGGGATTTTTCCGTAGAGGAAAAAAATCGATCCCCAGTCTCTGGGGATTTTTTCCGTAGAGGAAAAAAATCGATCCCCAGCTCTGGGGATTTTTTCCGTAGAGGAAAAAAAATCGATCCCCAGTCTCTGGGGATTTTTTCCGTAGAGGAAAAAAAATCGATCCCCAGTCTCTGGGGATTTTTTCCGTAGAGGAAAAAAATCGATCCCCAGTCTCTGGGGATTTTTTCCGTAGAGGAAAAAAATCGATCCCCAGTCTCTGGGGATTTTTTCCGTAGAGGAAAAAAATCGATCCCCAGTCTCTGGGGATTTTTTCCGTATAGGAAAAAAATTCGATCCCCAGTTTCTGGGGATTTTTTTCTCTAGAGAAAAAAATTCGATCCCCAGTTTCTGGGGATTTTTTTCTCTAGAGAAAAAAATTCGATCCCCAGTTTCTGGGGATTTTTTTCATATTTTCTAATTTCTTTGGAAATAGTGTAAACAAAGTACACACCCATATGACAATGTGTACATATTCGCACATAAATCTACCGAGGACCTCAGGATGCCGCAAACAATATTTCATAACGACATGCAATAGAGATTTGCTCATAGCCTTTGGATAAGTAGTCGAGCTATTGGTCACTAGGTAATTGAAGCAATAAATTCTCTAGAATTGAGATTAATGGCAGAAGGAGGTATCGAAATGTTTATGGGGTTATTGCGAAAGCCCACACGAAATGATGGCTGGTTGGCTGGTGGTAGGTTGGCTTAAAAAATTTGCAAAAATAATCTCTTTTGTGGAAAACCAGAAACGAATTTTGTGTGGGTAATAGTTAGGCATGTTAATAAATATTGACATTGACATTGAAACTGAAATTTTCAAGTGATTCAGAAAAAAACGGGAGGAGAGAATTTGAAACGAAAAAAAAAATAAAATTCTGCCCTTTAAAAATATGAAAAAAAATGAGAATGAATTTTTGGTAATTTTTTGGAGGAGAAAAATTCCCAGAGTCCGTAACTTCGATATTTTTGTACAAAAAATTTTAGGAATTAGTAACCGATTTTTTATAAAAAAAGACCCCAGAAAGTTGGGACCAATTGTAGGAAAAGATTTTTCCATAAAAATATACCAAAAAGTTGGGACGAATTTTTATTCTAAAAAAAAAATCCTACCCAGAGGAAGGATATCTCCATTTTCTTTTTTCATTTGAATTTCTTTTTTATCTTGAATTTGGTCTTCTCAAGGCCTTGTCAAAGACAAAATCTATTTGGACAATTTTTTTATTCCATTTTTTTTTTTTTTGGTAAATCAAAAATTTTGACAAAGAAAAGCTTTAATGTGCCTGTCATTCAAGGGCCCATTAAATTTAATGGTTGTTAGTTTTTTTCATTTTTTTCTTGGTCTCTTTTTCCTTCAGATGCCAGACGAATATTTGCCAAAAACAAAAGAAAATTACTCTAATTTAGACGAGTTTTTTCTTCTACTATTTTCTTGTTGCCGTTTATTGGCCAAAAGCAATCAAAGAACTAAAAGACGCCATAATGTCATTAGGGAATTTTAGTTTGGGCCAAAAAACTCTGAAGAAATTCCAGTTGCTTTCAAGTTGTTAGACATGATTTTCGGTTTCAAAAAAAAAAAAAAAAAATATTTTTGTTTTGAAAAAAAAAAAAACGATTAATGAGCTTTCCCCCCAAAAAACCATTCTTCCGCTGGTTTCAGTTACATCACCTTTTTTGTATCCGATATTTGTCGGTGTATTTTTTTTTTTGTTGTTTATACTTCCCTCCACAAGAACCTACTTTCATTTCCCCCGCTTCTGAGGCACTTGACGTTGTTGCTTTAAATTAACTCAAAACAAAATTGGCTTTTGACTGTCATAACGCACAATTATGTCAACTTCAACGCCCGCCGTTTAATATACAACGTTTGTGGAATATTAAAAAGGCAAAAACAAACTCTTCAAAGACTTCCAACGCGTGGCTAGCCATGAAATGTTGGCCTGGCTTAACTCCACACGATGTGTGAATGTTATCATTCAGCAGGTAGTACCACAAGCCACATATCTCAGTTGTGTTTTTTTAACAAGAAAAATACAGTGGGGGGAGGTGAAATTTAATTGGGATCAAAATCCCCAGAAATTGGGGACGAATTTTTTTCTATAGGAAAAAATCCCCAGAATTTGGGGAAGATTTTTTTCTATAGAAAAAAATCCCCAGAATCTGGGGACAAATTTTTTTCTATAGAAAAAAATCCCCAGAAGCAGGGGACGAATTTTTTCCTATAGGAAAAAATCCCCAGATACACTGGGGACGAATTTTTTCCTATAGGAAAAAATCCCCAGAATCTGGGGATAAATTTTTTTCCTATAGAAAAAAATCCCCAGAAGCAGGGGACGAATATTTTCCTATAGAAAAAAATCCCCAGAAGCAGGGGACGAATTTTTTCCTATAGAAAAAAATCCCCAGAAGCAGGGGACGAATTTTTTCCTATAGAAAAAAATCCCCAGAAGCAGGGGACGAATTTTTTTCTATAGAAAAAAATCCCCAGAAACTGGGGATGAAATTTTTTCTATAGAAAAAAATCCCCAGAAACTGGGGATGAAATTTTTTCTATAGAAAAAAATCCCCAGAAACTGGGGATGAAATTTTTTCTTTAGAAAAAAATCCCCAGAAACTGGGGATGAAATTTTTTCTATAGAAAAAAATCCCCAGAAACTGGGGATGAAATTTTTTCTATAGAAAAAAATCCCCAGAAACTGGGGACGAATTTT